TTTTGTGTCTTAAAATAGCATACCCTTAATACAGCATCCTATTTTAATTTCTAAATTCTACATTATATTATTTCAACATGCTTTTCTCAAGAACAAAACTACTTTTATCACTATATAATTCCTTGAGAATACATTTCAACGGAATCAGTTTGGTTCAACTAGTTACTTCAGTTTAATTAGCATTTCCATGTTGAAAGACACAGTGTTTATCTTGATTTCTTTTTCCTGGTCTTTAAGACATGTTCTTGTAGATAGAAGTATCCTTGATAAAGATTACTGTAAGCAGTGCCTATAATAACATATGACAAAATGCAAAGTTATAAAACCCAATCCCAAAATTTATATACATAAATGCATACTATATACATACATTTGTGTGTGTGTGTGTGTTTGTATGTGTGTGTGTATGTGTGTGTGTGTGTGTGTGTGTGTGTGTGTGTACTCTCTCATAAAATATTGTGAAAGAGTGGGCAGAAACATTCTACGACCCAGAGGTTCTGGGAGTTTGCTATGAGATTTGGTCATCCAGTAAGCTCAGAAGCTATACACATAAAGTTTCCCCATCCTGCCTGATCAAATGTGAGTTGAAAAAGGATGACACCAGTGAATATGCCAAAACAGACAGAAAAGGCCCATGAGACCTCAACCCTAAACTAAGTACATTGGCACCTAAGGAAAGCTGGGAGTGAAAGAGATGGCTTGTGTGGGAGGTCCTTCTGTTTATGTGTTGCTTTTATTGGTTAATGAATAAAGAACTGCTTTGAGCCTATGGCAGGAAAGAAGAGAACTAGGCAGGAAAAGCAAGGCTGTATGTTGGGATAAAGAGGGCAGAGTAAGAAGCCGCTACCAGAGACAGATGTGCTAAAACTTTCCTGGTTAGCCACGGCCTCATGGTGATGCACAGATTAATGGAGATGGGTTAAATTAATATGTAAGAGTTAGCCAATAAGAAGCTAGAGCTAAAGGACTAAGCAGTGATTTAATTAATGCAGTTTATGTGTGATTATTTTGATTCTGGGCAGCCGGGAAGAACAAGCAGCCTGTTTCTACAGTGGCGCCTTTTTTAGGATTGCACTTTGCCAGATGTTCAGTCTTGAAAACATATGTACATGTTGAACAGGATGTATTTAGGAAAATATATGTATAAATATAGCTATATATGCAATAAATGACAATGAAAAAGGAGGCAATGAATGTAAGGTAGAACAAGAAGAGGTATATGCAAAACATAAGAAGAAAGAAAGGGATGGGAGAAATATTGAAATTATATTACAATCTCAAAAATAAGAAAGAAAACTAGTTTTTAATAAGTAATTTTAAGCATAAAATTATTTGTGAAATTTCTTTTTATCATCTGGATCCAAATGTAAGTCATATTAAAACCACAATTATATTTTCCACTGAAAAGCAAATTCTAAAATTTACATGAAATCATAGAAATCAATTTACAGAGAGCAGGGGAAACCTGAGTAAGTAATTTCCTGAGTTAATGTGCAGAGCCAAGCCATGTACTCCAAAGCTGATACCATGGAAAATTTGAAAAGTCTTTCTTTATATGGTACATGCTAAGAGGGAAGGGATAATATTATATCAATGGTCTGAGTAGAGCAAGTGATCTGTGTTTGTAAAGCTAGTAAATTTTGTTTACTATTCTTCCTGGGTGGTTAGAACCTAAGACTGGTGAACTGAAGATGCTTCCTATCAAGAATAACTAGTTCCTACACCTATGATGTACGTAATAAACACACTGAGGTTGCAGTTCATGGCAGTTATAGGTGTTGATTCATCAGAACACATATTCCAACCTTTCCAGCTTTTCTGTACATATAACTGAGTACCTGTCTTTTCTTCCTTCATCCCTTTGGTACTATTAGTGAGCTCTAGGACCCAAGCTCTACAGAACCTAGTACATATTCTAATTGAATCAGCATTAGTTACAAAAGAAAATCTTAGAGGCCTCAAATTATTTAATTATAAAAACTTACTGTAAAACTTTTACAATCACAAGAATGATCTATTGGTATGGTTAATACAGTGCTTCTTTGGGAGAACATTTATAGTAATAAAAATATAGAAACAAATTACAAAAGTTATGGTTAATGGATTTTAATAATGAAACCAAGAAGACAAAAATATAAAAATGTCTTGTTTCTCCATAATGATGAATAAAATCATTTCTCAAATATAAACTTCAATTAAACTCTCATCTCACATCATATACAACTAACTCAGAGGGATATATACATATATATTATATATATATATATATAATTATAAAACCTGAAAAAAACTAAAAAAAACCATACTGTAAAAACTCTGAGGTAGTTTCAAGCAATATTTTTTTATAGACAATATTCAAAAGTATAGGATTAGGAAATAAAACATTCACATATGTTTATATCAACATGAAAAAGTCTCAGTAAAGGCAAAAATCACAAACACAAAGAGACACCCTATGAAATGCAGAAAATTATTTACAAAAATAGGAATCTGTATAAATTGTTTTATTGTTCCCTTGGAAACTGCATTGGTGGTGCTGGTATCATGAAAGTTAATGCACAGAGAGGAGTCATTTAAATCAATTCCATTTCGGGAGAGACTCCAGGACCCTATTCTGAAATGCATGGCATCTTCAACAATGGAGAGTTAGTTACCTTTTACTTCTGAGGTAAACATCAGGCAATAGGAAGAAGCTGTGTCTTCTCAGAATCTTCTGGATAGCCCTGACCAAAAACTCAAATGAGAAATTCTCATGTTCAATATTAAGTTTTTTGTTAGATAAGTTTTGCTCTTGGAGTAAATGTTATTAGCTCTGATAGGAATATTTTATTTAAACTGTGTTTGCATATTTAGACTTGCTTTCACATATTATAGATTTTAGGTATTCAATAGTATTACTTGATTCTTTTAAGTTTTCAGACATCCCTCTTATTTGTTTTACCCTCACTATTCTTTTCTCTGCATTTATCTCTCCCTCCCTTCTGTAATTAGAGCCTGATTTTTCTGCAGTTGCCTAATAGTAGTTCCTTCTGTCTCCCCGGGGTTTTGTAGTTAGTCCAGGCTATGTACACACAGTAGAAGAACTGAAGCCTTAAATCATCTCTGGTGCACAGAAATGATATTAATAATTTTGATGTTTCTTTTGTGTTTTGTAATGTTGTTGGAAGTTTTAGATCTAAAGTATCAGGGAAGATTTAGATTTTTCTCTATATAAGATAGTGTCATCTGAACTCAGATAATGTCACTGTGAACACATCCACAAGACATCTAAACGTCAACACTTCTTGCTGCTAATTTAGAAAACAAAAATAATCACCTTCTTTATTTTTAAATGGCAATCATTTCTCATTTTATGTAATGCCTCTCCTTGGTACACTCATTTGACGTGTTATTAATAGTGGCTTTATCCAGCATCCAGACGTCATTGTTGTCGCTCTTTCCTGATCTGTCAAAGGACAGATGACATGATTGCTGAGTATTACTAATTTTCAATTATCAGCATCTGGTTTAGGTAGAGAAAACTGCAATAACATATTCAGGACAAATATAAACTTGACTTTGACATAAGCTAATGCATTTTCCATAGATGTTAATTGTATTTTCTGCCTTATATTGTTCCATTCTGAGGCTGTGAGAACATAACAAATAATGAGAATTGTGTTGGGACGTATACAAGGCATTACATACCTCCATTTAGTTTGCTCCATTTCAGACTCACAAGAATTTAAAAAACATATGATCTTTTCAAAGTTATGAAAATAAATACAGGCCAAAATTTTTCCAAAAGACAAAAAAGTCACCACTTTACCAATGAGTATGGATTATTAAAATTTATTAAAGTGACATGTACATCATCTAGCTCAAAAATGTTAATTTACAGAGCTCCTGTTTAAAAACACAAGAAGTTAAAAAGATTCTGAAACAGCAAAATCTTCGCTCATGAGAATGATATTTTGTAGATATTGTTGGTAAAAATACACTGATAAATAATTCTGAAATAGACAAAAGATCTTCTTACACATCATTAAAAAGTTTTATAGTGTGTTTTACTTAAGCTTTCTGTTTTAAAATTTTGGCAGAAAGTTTTGTCAGAAATCATAACTAAATTGTCCATCAACTAATATTTTTTCCTGTAATTAAAACTTCTCTTTTATTTAAAGAGCAGAGAGATCATTAATTAAATCATGCTTTGCATACTGAATGGGATCTTATCATTTAATTATATATTGTTTACAAATATGATTAGCAGTAAGTCTATAAGCATTTTTCATGCTTTAAAACAAATGATGGATTTTGAAATGTCATAGCAAAAGTGATTATGAAACAAGAATTACATAGTAGAAACCAGCATCTCACACATTCTTGGGCAAGCAGCCCTGTTTCATCCAAGTCATGAGAGCTACACTGATGGTCTTCTTTGTCCCAAACAAGCAATAGTAGCGTTTATGTCTTGTGAATCAATTTTATTACAAAGATGCAAAGGATGAAGGCTTTGTTGGGTTTTTGTTTGTTTGTTTGTTTGTTTTGTTTTGTTTTATTTGCTCAGAACTAAACCTTGATTTTGTTGTGGGAAAGCCTGAGTACTGGAGACCTCGCTTCCAAAGCCCTGGGGTCTGCAGCAGAGTGCATTGGGCTGTGGACTGAAGGGAGATGAGCAGGGGGTAGGTTATAATAGCCTGGGCAGGAAAGAGCTGCAGCAATTAGGACCTGACAGGAGGCCGATTCTCAGTGTGGCCAGTTTGGGTAGGTGGGCGCCTGGCTGTAGCTGGGTTCTCTGGAGCTGGGGTTGGGGAGAGGAAGAATTTAACCATGAAAATCAAGTTTCTGCTTGGCTGGGTATGGGTGTGTCCCGGAGCAAGGTGGGGATAGGTAGCATCTTGGCAGAAGGTCTGTGAGGAGACGAGGCAGGCTTCAATACCTTGCCTGTAGGAATGCTCATGAGCACCACACAGACAGCAGGTTGGAGGCACCGGGCTGGCCTCCATCGCCCAACCCGGATCCTAGCACAAGCTGCTGATTTGACTCTTACTACAGCCCCACTCGCAGCAGCTGCTGGAAACGCCAGCCAGGATATCCCTGCTGCCCCGAACTGCTCCAGGCGACCCTTGCCAGCTGGGTTGACTACCATAGAAGGCCTGGGGAGATTTGGTCAGGGCCAGCCACTCTCTGGAGCCCACAGCTTCGTCCAGTTCGCTGGCCAGGTTGTCTGTATTGGCTTCTGCATCAGGGAAGAAGTCCCCCAGAGAGTCATGGGCCAAGATGTCTGAGAAGGCTTTGTTTTTTAATTATTATTATTTCTCATTATCTGGTGAACACAAAATCAAAGAAACTGCCATATTAGCTCTTTTTCTAAAATGGCAATACAGAGATGACATCGTTCATATAGATCAGTAATACTGTCAGTTTCTCATTTGTGGAAAAGAAAACCAACTCCTGGTTCCCAGTGTAGCAGTTTCAAGAATGTCATGAGTCTTGCTTTGGCTTCCTTTCATAATGAACTAGAAACTGTAAGATAAAAAAAAAAAAAAAAAAAAAAAAAAAGCCTATCTTCCTCTCATCCCCACCAATAAAACAGTGTTAGTAATGGCTGATTCTTCTATGGTCCTTTTCCTTCGTGGGATCAACAAACCAGTAGTCATCCTGGGCAGCAAAAGACACATTTTCCATAGCCAAGTAAAGAAATTGTTAGAGGAGCTGGAGAGGTGGCTCAGAGGTTAAGCGCACTGACTGCTCTTCCAGAGGTCCTGATTTCAATTCCCAGCAACCACATGGTGGCTCACAACCATCTGTAATGAGATCTGGTGCCCTCTTCTGGTCTGCAACATATACATAGGGAAAACACTGTATACATAATTAATAAATAAATCTTTTAAAAAAAGAAATTGTTAGAGATCAACGTGCAATTCAACTTATTGATCAGAATGTACAAATGTAAACATTATAAAAATAAAGCAATAGAATTAAATTTTAAGGATAAACCAAAAAAAGGGGATCACAATATATTTGTTTTTGTAAATTCATTCATTTCCCTTAAAGTCAGGAAACACCGAATTTCACTTCCATCACTCTGCGATCATGACTATGATACCTGCTGACTGCTATGTATGGCAGTCACAATCGGGAATGTGCTATTGACTTCCCTATAGGTCAGACTAGCCTGGCAAGAGTGGTGCTGGCAACTGGATAATCACTCAATCGTCTCTCAGGATCTATGGTCTGTCTCTGCTTGTGTTTTCTTCTTAGGTCCATGATTGATTGAGAAGCCTGAAAACTCTATCTTATAGAATTTCACCCAATTAGTTGTGTGTGACTCCATTGCCTAAGGAGTAGAGAGGAAACCTTTGTATTATAAACATACACAATACAGTCTTTTCAGACAGGATTATTTCAAGTTCTTTGGATCTTACATATTCCATTATAAATTTTTCACTTTTAAGCTCTATGAAACTATTTTCTCTGCAAAATGGGTAAACTTAAAATTAAGTATATTATTAAGATATTGTTCATTCATATATATATATATATATATATATTGAGCTTTAAACATTGTAGAGTAGAAAGATCTAAAAGAATAGCAATAGGATTAAGAAAATATTTTATATATGCATTTTGAAATCTAGTGTCATTAAGATAATTGCAAAGGTTACACTGGAGAGTTGTCATTTGTCATCAAAGCCAAATCAATTTTAATGGCATTCCAGCAGCAATATCCTCATAACAGAAACCCCACTTGCAAAAATATCTCCCTGCTGTTATTGCCAGGTGTAATGATTACATTCTGATTTGTATTTAAACCTCACTTTCAACGGTTTTCTAGTAAATGGTTTTCATTTAAAAATGTAAAGAGCTCTCTATTATTTCGAAGAGCCTAGTAGTCCTTTTTTTCTTTCATGTCAATAGCCAACTGTCTGACAGTTATCAAGATAATAATGTCAGTTCTTATTCCTATTCCAACATTCTTGGTATAGAAATAGTGAATTTCAAAGACAAGCTTTAAATAAAAACTTTACCACCTTTCCTATAATTTAGAACTGAGCAGTTATTTCCAGAAATCATTCTCCTATTATACTCATAGTACCTGAGTCAACACTTTGACTCTTAAATAAGAGGTCAGTCTATGAGACTCTTCTCACTAAAAATATTTAAAATGGTGTTCTCTGTGAAGATAGTAAAATACTTAGATCATGATATATTTGAGAAAGACTGCCTATTTTACTTTTTTAAAAAGGCAAGGATTCCATTTGAGAATGAGACTCTTTTCTGAGAAACCATTTTTACCTAAGAAATAATGATTATTTTTTAATGAGTATTTTTCAGTGACTGGAGATCAGTGTGAACTATGTAGGAAGAATGCGTTCTGTGCTTTGCAACTAATTTAATTTTCCTGTTGGAACTAACAAATACAGGGCTCTGGACTGATTTTTCCTATTTTAGCTTAAACTGGGTCTTAAATATAAAACTTTTTCTAAATACATTACCATGAATAGGCTTATAGGAAAGTAATAACAAATCCTTTCACTCTGTATGGTGCAGTACTTACTCTAATTTGATGATGATGCAGAAAAAATATTTTATGAGTCTGATATAATAAATTGCAATATATAAACATAAATATTAATGGAATACATAATTGAACCAGTAATATAGTTAAAAGACTAAATTATAAAAATATGAACACAATAGCTTTTTGTTTGTTTTAATTAAAGAGGTAAAAATTATCATTGCCAAAATTGATGAGCTTTTAAAACTACATTTTGAAAACATATAAGGATTCTTCCTTGGTGTTAAGAAAAATGAAATACTTTAGTATTAGGTTTATAATTTAACTTATTCAATTTAAAAGTAAATGGCTTGGTCACTCAAAAGTTATTACTTTGCAGAACTGATATATAAAATGACAGTTCAATGAGAGGAAGATTGAATATTTAAATAAACGTTTTGTTAATTATAAATCATCAGAAATATTGTATTCCTAAGTTACAATGGTGCTTAATAAATCTTAGATAAAATATTGTATAATGTCTAATTCTTAAATAGAAAAATAAAAACAATACACTAGGTTTCAAAATATTTGTGAAATAAAACCATATGTAAGTATAGTTAATAACATATATAGATCATAGCAACATATTTCTAAGTATAAAGGTGTTTTATTTTTCATTTTGGGTAAAGATTTATGCAAATGGAGACATTGTTAGGATGCGCTCAAAATACAAATGAATAACACTCATTCCTATGCCAACATTTTTATTATCTAAATTATTTCATTTAATCAAATTCTACCAATATAATTCTACATATCCAAGTTGTGGTTATATGCTGAGTTTTCAAGGATATAAAATTTGGGGCCAATTTTTAAGTTCATCTTCAATACATTTTATATTTCTATGTAAGGGCACATTGATTTTAATAAAAAACACATAGAAAGCTATAACTTGAGTGCCAGGATTTCAAGAATTTTATAATTTACCTTATATAAGGGAGCTGCATTAAGGATAAAGACAGAAAAAGCCTATGGAAGAAAAGAAAAATATCAGTGCAATATATACAGTGAACACACATTAGCTTTGTTGCATATGCAAACATATTTAACATCCCAAAGTCTTCTAAACAGAAATGATGTTCTTTATGCTACAGATGCCTATTTAAAGACAAAATTTTAAGTGATCTGGCAAAGATTCTAAGTACAAGATTTTCAAATTTATCTAACACAATGTTCCATTGTGAACAGCACAACAATTTAGTTGGATGTCTCTGAATATATATCTATATTTCATTTTTATCTCCAATAAAGGTCTTTTGAGGTTTAATCTCTACCTAAATTTAACTGTCATCATTATGATTGTATTAAAAGATAAGTCACTGAAGATAACTGTCTTTTGGTTTTTTTTTTTATTATTTATTTATTAAAGATTTCTGTCTCTTCCCCGCCACCGCCTCCCATTTCCCTCCCCCTCCCGCGATCAACTCCCCCTCGCTGGCCAGCCCAAAGAGCAATCAGGGTTCCCTGCCCTGTGGGAAGTCCAAGGACCACCCACCTCCATCCATGTCTAGTAAGGTGAGCATCCAAACTGCCTAGGCTCCCACAAAGCCAGTAAGTGCAGTAGGATCAAAAACCCCTTGCCATTGATCTTGAGTTCTCAGTAGTCCTCATTGTCCGCTATGTTCAGTGAGTCCGGTTTTATCCCAGGTTTTTCAAAGCCAGGCCAGCTGGCCTCGGTGGGTTCCCAATAGAACATCCCCATTGTCTCAGTGTGTGGGTGCACCCCTCGCGGTCCTGAGTTCCTTGCTCATGCTCTCTCTCCTTCTGCTCCTGATTTGGACCTTGAGATTTCTGTCCGGTGCTCCAATGTGGGTCTCTGTCTCTTTCTCCTTTCATCGCCTGATGAAGGTTAATATTCAGGAGGATGCCTATATGTTTTTCTTTGTGTTCTCCTTATTTAGCTTCTCTAGGATCGCTAATTATAGGCTTAATGTCCTTTGTTTATGACTAGAAACCAAATATGGGTGAGTACATCCCAGGTTCCTCTTTTTGGGCCTGGCTTACCTCACTCAGGGTACTGTTTTCTATTTCCACCCATTTGCATGCAAAATTCAAGAAGTCCTTGTATTTTACTGCTGAGTAGTACTCTAATATGTATACATTCCATACTTTCTTCATCCATTCTTCCATTGAAGAGCATCTAGGTTGTTTCCAGGTTCTGGCTATTACAAACAATGCTGCTATGAACATAGTAGAGCATAATCTTTTGTTGTATGATAAGGCCTCTCTTGGGCATATTCCCAAGAGTGGTATTGCTGGGTCCAGGGGTAGGTTGAACCCGAATTTCCTGAGAAACCGCCACACTGCTTTCCAAAGTGGTTGCACAAGTTTGCATTTCTGTTATACCTTCCTATACTTTTTCCTCTTTCTTGGTTTACCATTTCTCATTCTATTTAATCTCTCTTTCCCATGATTCTTAATTTTGTTTTTATACTACATGTTCTACTCTCCTTCAGTGGAAAACCCCCATGGCTTCTTACTATTTTCCTGACTCTATATGTCTTTTGAACAGAGGCTTAATACAGGTTGATTAGCTTTTGTTGCCCTTCTGCCCAATGAAGACAAGGATAGAAAGTTCTATTCAGGTGAAATGCTGGATTTGTGATCTTTGTACACACAGCCTCTAGAAGTGATAAGAAATGAAAGAGATTTTGAAATATAAATGACCATTTCAGACAGTGTGTTGTGGCACCATTAATGGTCTAAGACAGAACTGAGTTGATAAATGG